TTTGGTTAGGTTTATTCCGAGGTATCTTATGGTTTTTGGTGCTATTGTAAAAGACAATTATCATACGATCTCACTGATATGTGGAATTTAAGAAACAAAACAGAGGATCATAGGGGAAGAGAGGAAAAAATAAAACAAAATGAAACCAGAGAGGGAGACAAACCATAAGAGACTTTTAACCATAGGAAACAAATAAAACAAGAAAACAAATAAAATACTAGAAATATTTAAAAAAAAAAAAAAGAAATCCTAACAGAAGGAAAACTGGAATATCTAAAATATTTAGGAAGTAGGGAACACTTTCCTAAATAACCAATGGGTCAAAGAAGAAATCACAAGAAAAGTTAGAAAATACTTTCAGATGAATGAAAACAAAACCAACATACCAAAACTTATCAAATGCCATTAAAGCATTGCTTTGAGGAACACTTACAGCTATAAATGCCTATATTTAAAAAAAATAAAGATCTCAAATCAATAACCTCATCTTCAGAAATTGTAAAAAGAAGAGCAAACTAAACCCAAAGCACATAGAGGAAGGAAGTAATAAAGACTAGAATGAAAATGAATTAAATAGAGAATAGAAAAACAATACAGAAAAGCTAAGGAACAGTTATTTGAAAAGATCAACAAAATTAACAAATCTTTAGTTAGATTGGGGGGGAAAAGGAGAAAACTACTGAAATTAGAAATACAAGAGGAGTTATTTTGATAGGGATTGCATTGAATATGTAGATTGCTTGGGGTAGTATAGACATTTTAACAATATTTGTTCTTCCAGTCCATGAGCATGGAATGTTTTTCCTTTTTTTTGTGTCCTCTTCAACTTCTTTCATAAGTGTTCTATAGTTCTCAGAGTACAGCTCTTTTATCTCTTCAGTTAGGTTTATTCCTAGGTATCTTATGGGTTTTGGTGCAATTGTAAATGGGATCAAGTCCTTGATTTCTCTTTCTGCTGCTTCATTATTAGTGTATAGAAATGCAACAGACTTCTGTGCGTTGATTTTATATGCTGTGACTTTGCTGAATTCCTGCATTTTTCACAGAGCTAGAACAAACAATTCTAAAATTTGTATGGAACCAGAAAAGACCCCAAATAGCCAAAGTAATGTTGAAAAAGAAAAACAAAGCGGGGAGCATCACAATTCCAGATTTACAGCCATATTACAAAGCTGTAATCATCAAAACAGTATGGTACTGGCACAAAAACAGACACATAGATCAACGGAACAGAACAGAGAACTCAGAAATGGACCCACAACTGTATGGTCAACTAATCTTCAACAAAGCAGGAAAGAATATCCAACAGGAAAAAGGTAGTCTCTTCAACAAATGGTTTTGGAAAAACTGGACAGCCACATGAAGAAGAATGAAACTAGACCACTTTCTAACACCATACACAAAAATAAATTCAAAATGGATGAAAGACCTAAATGTGAGACAGGAAACCATCAAAATCCTAGAGGAGAAAACAGGCAGCAACCTCTTGGACATCAACCAACTTCTTACTAGATATGTCTCCTGAGGCAAGGGAAACAAAAGCAAAAATAAACTATTGGGACTTCATCAAAATAAAAAGCTTCTGCACAGCAAAGGAAACAATCAACAAAACTAAAAGGCAACCTTCAGAATGGGAGAAGATATTTCCAAATGACATATCTGATGAAGGGTTAGTATACAAAATCCATAAAGAACTTATCAAACTCAACACCCAAAAGATAAATAATCCAGTTAAAAAATGGGCAGAAGATATGAGTAGACATTTTATCTATAAGAAGATATACAGATGGCTAACAGACACATGAAAAGATGCTCAATATCACTCATCATCAGGGAAATGCAAATCAAAACCACAATGAGATACCACCTCACACCTGTCAGAATGGCTAAAATCAACAACACAAAAAATAACAGGTGTTGGCAAGGATTCAGAGAAAGGGAAGACCTCATGCCCTGTTGGTGGGAATGCAAACTGGTGCAGCCACTGTGGATATCAATATGGAGGTTCCTCAAAAAGTTAAAAATAGAGCTACCCTATGGCCCAGCAACTGCACTACTAGGTATTTACCTAAAGAATACAAAAATACTAATTCAAAGGGATACATGCACCCTGATGTTTATAGCAGCATTATTTACAATAGCCAAACTATGGAGACAGCCCAAATGTCCATCTGATGGATGGACAGAGAAGATGTAGTATATACACAATGGAATATTACTCAACCATAAAAAAGAATGAAATCTTGCTATTTGCAATGACATGGGTAGAGCTAGAGAGTATTATGCTAAGTGAAATAAGTCAGTCAGAGGGGCTCTCCTACCCCCTCTGGGCTGGGGAGCTATGACGAGTCACAGGCTTCCTCTGGCTCGACTCACCACTTCTTAGTAATCGCTTCACAATAATCACTTCTTAGATTTTACCCAGGAAGAGAGACTGAAAATCTTTCATTATCCCTTTTTTTTTTTTGCCTGTGTTTTCTCCAGTTTTATTAAGATTAATTGACAATTGCAACTGCATATATTTAAGGCATACAACTTGATGTTTCTTTTTTTTAATTTTTTCCATTTGTTTATTTAAATTTATTAATTAACATATAGTGTATTATTAGTTTCAAAGGTAGAGTTCAGTGATTCATCTGTCTTATGTAACACCCAGTGCTCATTACATCCCGTGCTCTCTTTAATGCCCATCACTCAGTTACTCCCCAAGGTTGCCCCTCCAGCAACCTTGTTTGTTTCTTATGATTAAAAGTCTCTGGGCGCCTGGGTGGCTCAGTTGGTTAAGCGACTGCCTTCGGCTCAGGTCATGATCCTGGAGTCCCGGGATCGAGTCCCGCATCGGGCTC